GGCAACCAGAGCACCAGCGTAGATCTCAGCCTCACAGATGGACGAAGTTACCGATGATAAGACAGTTCTGACACCAACATTGAAGCAACACCCCTATGAAGACATGAGAATCTTGGCGTTGTCTGCCTTTACACGTAGGCGTGACCCATGGTTATAGCTCGCAGTCGTCCTCAAAGCATAAGTCCCATGCCTACTATACTCGCCAAATAGCACAATACCCTCTTATCGGCTGACCAGTAAGCGTGTCAGCTTCTCCCAATCTCAACAAAGCAAGTAAGGATGCTAACCCTTCACTTAGGCTAGCTCAGCTCTGTCGGGAGTAGTAAAGACCGGGTCGTCAACGTGGACAATGATGTAGAACATCGCCAAGCCAGAGCGGATGAACAGAGAAGGGTCAGCAGAGGAGGGGGAGAAGCCGAGAGCAGCACGAGTAGTGCATAGCGTGTTCTTCCACTCGTTAGGAGCCTAACGTAGACCGTGGAGTGGTCGCTAAGGGTTTATTGGTTTCAGAAAAGAACAACCCAGTGAAATCAAGGGGTTGGCATAGCCAGGTCTGCTCACGCAGGCTGTCCTAGAGGAAGGTAGTGGAGAAGTTAAATGAGTGGAGCTCGTAGTCACGCTGTGCTCCAATGTGCAGCGGTACCCGAAGAATGGTCATCAAGCTGGGGAAGAATTTCTTGAAGAAGTATAGCCCCTCTCGGTGACTACACCCTCTCTCCACCTAGCGCGCCTTGAAGTCAGGTGGCGCTCTAGGTGGCCACTTCACAGTGAAGATCCACATGTCATCGAGTACGTTTGCCCCATGAGGGGGGCCAATTTTGCAGTAGGTAACTGTGGACATCCAAGATGCGATCTTTGCATCCATGGCTACCATCCCATAAAAGGCCTGTGTGTAGACACTACGTCGAAGTAGGTGCGAAGAGCCGGTATGTCAAGAGCATCTAGGTCACCCTCATCATTGCAGAGAGGTGAGGAGCAGCGGCCGCAAGGAAAGCCATCTCAAACTACCTGCCCTCTAGAATGTCACTATCAAGGGCAAGAGCACCTCCAACATATGGAAAATGGGCAGGATTAGAGACCAAATGAGTGGCGTAGTCAAAGTGGCGGGTCGAGTCAAAGTCAGCAACAGTAGCGACAAAATTTGAGACTGACGAAGTAGGAAAGTACATGGGAGAATATAGGTCGAGTGCCACAGAGGAAGTCAGAGAAGGAAGGAGGGGAGACATTGAGAGATACGATAAAGGAGATGGGAGAACAGGAGGAGGAACATGAAGGGGGAGAGAACGGAGCCCATAGAGTGATGGTTGGGAACACAAGACGATGGACGAGCATGAGCGGCACCACGAGGAAATGGGGGAGAGACAAAGGACAGGCCAGGGAGGAGAGGTGGAGACAGTTGTGAACAAGGAGGAAAACGAGTCGAAGACGGGCCTGGGAGAGGCAGCGATGAGGAGGAGTGAGGAGGACTGTTAGTCAAAGGGTAAGGAAAACCAAGAAGGTGAAGTACAGTCAAAGGCAACAACGATTGCTGCTGTAGCTACGGCTGCTAAGGTTGTTGCTGTTGCTACTGGTGCTGTTGCTGTTGCTGGTGCGACTGCTCCGAACGTTGCAAGCCCGCGGCATTCCCAGTGTCTCAACCTCCTGCTGCAGTACCCCTAGAGCTAGCACTTCTTGGATCAGCAACCCCAGAGCTAGCACTTCCTGAGTCAGCACCCCTAGAGCTAGCAACTCGCGTGTCCGCACTCCTAGAACTAACACCCTTAGAGCTAGGACCAGGGTGTATCATTGGTTTTGGGGCACCCTTAGAAATCAGGGTGCCTTGATGACGTCAACAAGTCTATCAGGATTATTTGTTTTCTACCCTGTCAAAATCAGAGTAGGACTAAGAGCACCCTGATTTGTAAGGAAAATGGGGCGATTGGGGCAGGGGTGGCGAGGGAATTGTAGGGAGGGGCTATGAGATGCGAGAGAAATGGGGGGAGTTAAGTTAGGAGGTGTAAGGGAATCGGGGAGAGTGGGGCTGGGAGAGGCGAGGGTATTTTGGCGTGCAAGGGTAACAATTTGCGCACACTGATTTCGACAGTGTAGAGAAAATACTACACTTTTGGAGAAAGGGTGAAAATCGACCACCCTTTCAAATCAGGGTAATCGAAAAAAAAATGATTTTAGAAAGGGGAATCAAGGCATTTTACCCTTGGAAAAAATGCCCCTAGCTAGGACCCACCGCAGCTGCACCCCCATCCAAGGATATCCCGTTTAGCTTGATACAGTGGGATGCGCTATACATATCAAGTAAACAGAGCAAAATCTACACCAAGTTGACAAAAGTTAGAAGAAGAAAGAGGAATGAACTAGCAGAAATGGGGATACAAATAGCAAACCCTAGAAGGGTTGTACTCGCTATAGAGCACCCCACTACAGGCTAGAACATAAGAATAATATTCTGACACACCCCCATAGCCAAAGTGGGGTGTAATCAGCAGAGCAGGCAAAGCAAAACAAGCTCAGGGTGGATCACAATGTCACCACACATTCTGAGCACAAGTTCAAGAAGAAATAGTTTAGAGTTCACAATTATAAGCAAAGCTAGTGGTAGTCACAACGGGCAAGTGAGGAGGAGGAGGGAGAGTGAGGGGAGAGGAGACAGGAGGCGACGGCTGAAGCTGCAGACACACGGGCAACAGGAGGCAGACTGGCACAGCGGCTACCGGACAGCGCCCGGACTACAGGAGTAACAGGCCCCGCGGCTCAAATAGCGGCGGACGGGCAACGGACCCACGGGCGGCTGGCACAGCTGGCTACGACTGGGCTACCGGGACAGCGCCCCGGACTACAGGTGCTGCGGACGACAAGCCGGCAGCCTCCGCTCAACCTCCCGCAAACAGTCCCACCCCCCTGATACACACCCACTGCTACACCGCTAGCTCTACTCCCACACACCCCCCTTAAACCCTAAACCCAGTCTCCCACACATCCACCCCCCTCAGCGACAGCTGCAGCAGTGGGAGACGAAGGAGGAGGAGGAGCAAAGGGAGGAAGGAAGACCGGCCACCCCCATACCCGCCACCCCACAGCTCGGCCCCCGAAGGAGCCGCGACGGGCGACGGGAAATGGCAGGGGGAGGGGGGGGGGGGGGGGGGGGGGGGGGGGGGGGGGGGGAGGCGGGGTGGTGAAAGGGACCCACCACGGGCCTGGTTGGAGGGCGGGGCCGCGAAAAGAGGCGGGGCCGCGACGAGGGGCGGGGCCGCGAAGTAGGGCGGGGCCGCTTCGAGGGGCGGGGCCGCGACACAGGGCGGGGCCGCGACGTAGGGCAGGGCCGCGACGGTCGGGCGGGGCCGCGACGTAGGGCGGGGCCGTGACGGTCGGGGCGGGGCCGCGACGTAGGGCGGGGCCGCGACTGTAGGGCGGGGCCGCGACGGTCGGGGCGGGGCCGCGACGTAGGGCAGGGCCGCTTCGAGGGGCGGGGCCGCGACGCAGGGCGGGGCCGCGACGGTAGGGCAGACGCCCGCCGCGCACAGTGGGCAAAGAACCGCCGCGCGCCCCGGGGCGCACGGCGGGCAGAAAACCGCCGCGCGCCTCGGGGCGCACGGCGGGAAGGAAAACCGCCGCGCGCGTCGGGGCGCACGGCGGGAAGGAAAGGTAGCAGCGGAAGCGAGGTGGAAACCCACCCACAGGATCGATCTAAGGGGATCGACCTGCTCTGATAGCATGACAAAAGTTAGAAGAAGAAAGAGGAATGAACTAGCAGAAATGGGGATACAAATAGCAAACCCTAGAAGGGTTGTACTCGCTATAGAGCACCCCACTACAGGCTAGAACATAAGAATAATATTCTGACACAAGTCTAAGGGCATGTTCCTACAGCCCCTTATCAAGCCAACCTCTTGACAGGCTGGCGTCAAAACACACTGAAATTTCCCTAAACCCAAGCACCTTCGCAAATTTTACCAGGCAATCCCGAGAAGAGGTTTGACTGATAAGAGCGTAGGAACATGCCCATACCGTATAGTAGATTATTAAAAATACATATAAAAAAAAATATATAGAGAGAGAATTTTCTCACCTACCTAACTCTAGATTGTCAAACTTATATGACATAGTCTGTGTAGGCTGTAGTGGGGTAGACAATATAGGGTACAACTCTTCTAGATTTTCCTACTTGTACCCACCTGCTTGCCAATTCCAACATTCCTCGTTTCTACTTTCACATGGTTTCAGAGCAGGTTCCCTAGTGGGAACGATTTTTTTTTTCAGGGCCCACCATGAAATTTCCTACCCTGCCCGAAGCGCGCTGTCGCGCCTGTCTCACGTGCGCCGTCGCGCGCCCTGACCTAGCCGCTCTTAGCAGCCCTGCCCTGCAGCCACCGTCGCGCGCCTGCTTTGCCCTGCTGCCCGCTGTCGCGGCCCTGCCCTGCCGCCTCACGTCGCGGCTTCCTTAGCCGCCCGTTGCAGCTCTGCCCTGCCGCCCCATGTCGCGGCCCCTGACCTGCAGCCGCCGTCGCGGCCCCTGACCTGTAGCCGCTATCGCGGCCCCTGACCTGCAGCCACCGTCGCGGCCCCTGACCTGCAACCGCCATCACGGCCCCTTACCTGCAGCCGCCGTCATGGCCCCTTACTTGCACCCGCCGTCGCGGCCCTGCCGCCTCCACCGTCGCGCCTGCTGCCGCCGTCACGGCCCCGCCGTACCGGTCCTGCCCTGCAGCACCCATCGCGGCCCTGCTCTGCAGCCGTCGCGCCTGCATTCGCCGTCGCGGCCCCACTGTTGCGGCCGCCACTGTTGCCGCCGTTGTGGCTCCGCCGTCGCGCCTGCCTTGCCCACCCCTGGTGAGCACCTACCCTACGCGCACTACCCGCGCCTGTCTTCCGGCCGAGCCGCGCTGCCCAGCCGAGCCGCGCCGCTCCGCCGAGCCGCGCCGCCCGGCCGAGCCGCGCCGCCCTACTGAGCTGCGCCGCACTGCCCTACTGGGCCGCGCTGCCCTACTCTTGCTGCTACTGCCGCCATGGCTGGCCCTAACGTTCTTACCTTCGATGCTGAGGGACGTGCAATCGACTTCAATGTCTGGGTAGACGATCTGCAGCTGTTTCTTCAGTGCGATAGCAAGGACGGAGTCTCGCTTTTTGATCTCACGTCTGGCGCCTCTGCTGCACCTGCTGCCGATGCTGACAGTACAGTTCGCTCGCACTGTACTACTCGTGACGCTGTTGCTCGCCTTGCTGTTCGTAGTCTCCTGCCTTCTGCTGAGCGCTCGCACTTTGGCCAGTACAAGACTGCTAAGTCTTTGTATGACGCTGTCGTAGCGCACTACTCCTCCCCTGCCATTGCTACCCTCAGCCGCCTCATGCTACCGTACCTGTTCCCTGACCTGGCCGTCTTTGCCACAGTCGCTGACCTCATTACTCACCTCCGCACTAGTGACGCCCGCTACCGCGCTGCGCTTCCCTCCGAGTTCTGCGCCAAGAACCCCCGCCCCCCCCCCCCCCCATGTACATCACCCTCTTCTACCTAGTCACCCGTCTCCCTGACTCCCTTTCCTCAGTCAGGGACCACTTTCTCTCTATGTGCCCCATTGCAGCTGAGAAGAGTATAGTTGCTGTAGGTGCTTCTCGCGGCAACCCTCGCGCCCCGTTCTTTGAGGGGTGTTCCCCCGTTCCCCTTCTGCCCTCTGTTGCTTCTACTTCTGCTATCAACCTCCTTGGCACGGAGGAGGTCGGGGCTGCGTCTGCTCCTAGTGGGAGGCGCCGCAGTGGCAGAGGCAAGGGGGGCAAGGGTGGTGGATGAGAAAAGAGAACGAGAATGATTGGACTATGAAAGAGTTGGGTACAAGTACTAACCCTAATTGGGTTGTACCCCTTATGGGCTACCCCACTACAGCCTACACTAATGTATAAGCTATAATGTTATGACACACCCCCATAAGCAAAGTGGGGGAGAACAAGGGGTCACAAGACCAGTCAAGCAAAGCAAATCAAAGCAAGCTCAGGGTGGATCACAAAGTCACCACACATTCCGAGCGCAAGTTCAAGGCCACAAGGCCAGTTCACATGCAGGATTACATATATATATAAGGCTAGACAAGCAAGAGCAGGTCTATATATATATGCAGCAGTACAAACAAGGTCAAGGAGTGAGCAAGTGGGGCAAAGTAGGCACAAGACCCACCTGAGTAAAGAAGCGCTGATGATCACAAGACGCAAGTGCCTTGGTGAAGATATCAGCAGTGTTGGCCTCAGAGGCCACGTACGCAAGTCACAGGTGACCACGCTGCTGTAGCTCACGAGCAAGGAAGTAGCGGAGAGCAATGTGCTTCGTTCTGTGCTCCAGTCTCTGCTCTCGACACAAGGCCAGCATGGCCTTGTTGTCTACGTACAGCACTGGAGGAGAATGAGGCGGCTCTCCGAGGTCAGTCAGCAGGTAGGTGAGCCAGCGAGGCTCTTGTGCAGCCATGGCCCCTGCGTAGATCTCAGCCTCACAACTGGAGCCGAGAACAGAAGACGAGCGGGTAGCCCGCCACGAAACAAAGTCGGAACCAAGGCTGAAGGTGTAACCCTGTGACGACCGCTGCGTAGCCTAGTCGTCAGCCCAAGAAGCGTCTGCGTGCCCAGTGAGGACCACTTGACTCTGCCCTCCAAGCACAAGCCCCATGCCCGACGTACTGCACAAGTAGCGCAACACCCTCTTTGCTGCAGCCATGTGCTCCGGTCTGTGTCTCCCAGGAGCAACATAGCGTGCAAGAATGCTAAGAGGGTATGCAAGGTCAGGTCGTGTGCAGGTCATCAGGTACATGAGGCAGCCAACAAGCTCTGGGTACGGGCCACTCAACTCTACGGACTTATCCGAAGGCAGAGCTGAGAGCGAGTGGCGAGTAGGCAGAGGAGTGGCCTGAGGCGAGGAGTACGTGAAGCCAAAGCGCTGAAGGACCTGCTGCACCATGTGTGACTGAGTCAGGGTAATGGTGCGGCGTGCTCTGTCTCGAGTGATCTGCAAGCCAAGATAGTTGCGCAGTTCACCCAAGTCAGTGCACGTGTGTCTCTTCTGCACCTCAAACTTCACGTGGGCGAGTCCAGCAGTGTCAGCAGTAGCAAAGACCAAGTCGTCGACGTACACGAGGATGTAGAACGGCGGCAAAGAGGTGTCGGTGCGCAGAAATAGCGACGGGTCGGCAGTAGAAGGAGCGAACCCAAGAGCTGCGTGTGTAGTCCTCAGTGTGTCGTGCCACTCACGGGGCGCATGGCGGAGACCGTAGACTGGCCGCCGGAGGCTCCACTGGGTGCCAGGGGGAAAAGACCCAGTGAAGCCAAGTGGGGGACGCAGCCAGATCTCCTCGTGCAGGCTGCCCTGCAAGAAAGCTGTGCTGAAGTCAAGAGAGTGCAGCTCGTAGTCGCGATGAGCAGCTATGTGCAGCATTACCTAAAGAGTGGTCATCTTCAGGGTGGGAGAGAAGGTCTGAAAGTAGTCAACTCCCTGTCGCTGACTAAAGCCACGAGCCACGTAACGCGCCTTGAAGACAGGCGGAGAACCCGGCGGCCGCTTCACCCTGAAAATCCACATGCCACTGACGATGTTCGCCCCAGGCGGGGGAACCTCGTCAACGAAGGTGCCTGTGGACTTCCAGGAAGCCATCTCTGCGTCCATAGCTGCCTGCCACTGAGAGGAGTAGGGACCCTCTATCGCCTCCGCGTAAGAGCGCGGAGTCGGGATGTGAAGTGCATCCGGGTCTCCCTCAGGTGTAAGCAGTACGGACACGAGATGAGGTGAAGCAGCGGCCAAGCACTGGAACTCCTCGTGCCTGTTCTCAAGGACGTGCGTGCCAAGAGCACACTCACCCCCGACGGACGGAAGACAGAAAGACGCACACTCAGCAACAAGACTAGCAGCCTAGTCTAGACGAAAGCGAGCAGCAAAGTCGACGAGCTCAGCAACTAGGGCAGACGCAGCAGTGGACTCAAAGGAAGGGTCAGTGACGACAGTAGCAAGGAGACGCGTGACCGTAGGACTGGCAGCACAAAGAGAGTCCGTCTCCGGGTCGGCAAGAGCATGAAGAGAGGACTCAGGAGGAGAAGGCAAAGGGGCACGCAGAGGAGCAGTGGACGGACGCAGAGACATCCGGTGCGTGCCAGAGACAGGAGGAGCACGCGGACGCGAACCATGACCACTAGTGCGAGCAGCGCAGACACGCAACGCAGGGCAAGACGCAGGCTCACGACGCTCAGCAAGACCCCCAGTAGGACCAGTGTAGGGAGAAGGAGCAGGTAGTGGGGACGATGGCTGTAAGTGTAACTGCGACGGGACAGGCTGTGGACACTCTAAGGGAGGAGGAGGACTAGTAGAAGGCGAGAGACCAAGAACCTGCTGAAGGAGCGGAACGAAGTACGGCCGAGGCGGCGCGGCAACTCCAGACACAGCAGGGACAGCACCAGCACCCCCAGCGGCAACACCAGCGCCAGGAGCACCTCCAGCTCCATTACCTCCAGCAGCACTAGTAGTACCCCCAGTAGGACCGCCTCCAGGACCGACAGCAGTAGCCTCAGCGCCAACACCTTCAGCAGCTCCAGCTCCAGTCGTACCCGGAGGCCTAGTAGCTCCAGTACTCCTAGTACGAGCACCTTCGGGACCCGCGTCACCAGCACCCTCAGCAGCCGAAGAACCTCCAGCTCCAGCAGCACGCCTCCAGCGCCGGGCAAACCACTCACGCAGCTCCTGTGGAGAGAGGGCTCCTGTCGAGACGAAACACCCGGAGAACCTCAAGGCCCAGCACCGCCAAACGCCACACGAATAGGCCCAACTCCCTTAGGCTCCACACCCCCAGGCTCAGCACCTCCAGGCGTAGCACCCCCAGGCTCGGGACCCCCAGGCGTAGCACCCCCAGGCTCAGCACCCCCAGGCTCAACACCCCCAGTCGTAGCACCCCCAAGCTCAGCACCCCCTGGCTCAGCACCCCCAGTCGCAGCACCCCCAGGCTCAGCACCCCCAGTAGTAGCACCCGCAGACTCAGCACCCCCAGGCGCAGCACCCACACGCTCAGCACCCCCAGAGTCAGCACCCCCAGGCTCAGCACCCTCAGCAGCACCAGAGTCACCAGTAACCTCGACAGGCTCGACTACGTCTACCTGGGACACACCTGAAGGGGTAGGAACCTGAGGGGGGAGGGGGTCTAGCGGGGGGGGACCTGGTACAAGGAAGAGCGGTGGCGGGGGGAGGGACGGAGTGCGGTAGGGGAAGAGGCGGTAGTAGGAGACCGACTCGTCAAACGTGATGTCCTGGGAGGAGAGAACACGGCGAGAGGTGGGGTGGTAGAACTGCCACCCTGGCGCGTCAGGGGGGAAGCCAAGGAAGACGCAAGGAGCAGCACGAGGGGACAGCTTGTCCGCAGACAAGTCGCGAGCAAACGCCCGAGATCCCCAGACACGGAACGAAGCCGCATCGCCAACCTTCCCCGTCCACAGCAAAGAAGGGGAGGTCTTCGGCACGGAGACCCAGGGGTGAAGGTTGATCTGATGCGCCGCGTACCGAACCGCAAACGGCCACAGAAAATGGGGGGCAGCCGCATGCATCATGGACGTACGAGCTACATCCATGACCATGCCAATGCGGCGCTCAGCAATCCCATTTTGTTGTGGAGAGTCCGGTAGCGTGAAGGTCGGGCGGATGCCTCGTGCACGACAGTAGGCTCGCAGAAGGCCAGAGGAGAACTCTCCGCCTCTGTCAGAGTGCCAACGCAGAACAGGAAAGTCCGAGCCGAAGCTCTGCCTGAGCTCGAGACGAGCTGCGCGGATCCAGTCGATCAGCACCTCAGTGACATCACCCTTGCTGCGCAAGGGGAAGACTGTGGTGTAACGGGAGTAGTCGTCAACCACCAGCAGGAAGTAGCGCTCGTGACCCTGTCCACGGACGCGGGCCGGGCCCCACACGTCCATGTGAAGCGTCTGCAGCGGGGCCTCTGTCGGAGGAAACTGGGAGGAGTGAGGGGCAGCCCGCTGCCGCCCCTCGACACAGGGAACGCAGGTAGGGCCAGGCCCAGGAGGAAGGGGAGGGAGGGACCGTGGAAGACCAGAGACAAGGACACGGGAGGCCATGCCTCGGAGACGAAGCAGGGAGGGGTGACCAAGGCGGTGGTGCCAGAGGAGAGTCTCGTGAGACAGGAGGCGACACGAGCAGGGGGCAGAGTCAGGACCAGACCTGGACGCTGTAGTAAACACCTGACCCGACGCAGCTACCTGACCAGACGCAGTGACTGGAGGAGACGCAGTGGTCAGTGTGTAGAGGCTCGATCCCGGCCGACGTGTAAACGTGGCCAGGTGTCGGCCTGTCCGAGCGTCCGTGTAGTGGGTCACTCGCTGACAAGCAGGAGTGAACTGGTGAACCCCCGCATCCTGTAGGTCAGCACCACTCACCAAGTTCGTAGAGAAAAAGGGGAGGTAAAGACCAGACAGGGTGCCAGAGGGGGCCGCCGGACACGGGAGGACAGTCGAGTAGTGAGCAAGGACAGGACCCCCAGAGGGGTCTGCCAGAGAGACTGCAACTGGCCGGCCAAGCGGCGTGAGTGTGGTGCGGTCTCGAAAGAAGGAGCGAGAAGCCCCCGAGTCAAGGGTGAAGGTGTGGGAGGCCGAAGACGACGCAGTACCTGAGAGAGCAAACTCACCAGCACCTGAGGGAGCAGACGCACGAGCACCTAGAGCAGCAACCTCGCTAGCACTTAGAGCAGCAGCCTGTGAGGATCTAGGATCGAGCTCAGAAAAGATGATTCAAATTGAATTGAATTGAATGTCCACCTGGGTACA